AAACCATTTCCAAAGCCGATATTCACCAAAAAAATGTGATGCTGTCTGTTTGGTGGGATTTTAAAGGAATCGTTTTTTTTGAGCTTTTACCGGATAACACAACGATTAATTCGGAAGTCTACTGTCATCAGCTGGACAAACTGAATGATACTCTTCAACAGAAAAGGTCAGAACTAATCAACAGGAAAGGTGTAGTGTTTCACCAAGACAACGCGAGACCTCACACAAGTTTGGTCACTCGCCAAAAGCTTTTACAGCTTGAATGGGATACAATGCTACACCCACCATATTCTCCAGACCTGGCACCATCGGATTATTATTTGTTCCGGTCACTCCAAAATTTTTTAGACGGTAAAACCTTCACCTCAAATGAGGAGGTCAAAAACCTCCTCGATCAGTTTTTTACCAGCAAAGACCAAAAATTTTATGAGCGTGGAATTATGCTACTACCAGAAAGATGGCAAAAGGTGTTGGACCAGAACGGTCAATATATAATTTAATAAAGTATTTGTTTATTATACGAAAACTGTCTTTCATTTCCACAAAAAAAAACGAAATGACTTTCCGAACCCTATAGTTTTCAACATCATTCTCTTCTCGGTCTATACAAATTTTGCTAGAGCGGTTTGGAGAAATCTTCTGCAATGGCTTTCATAGCCGTGGTGGCAATCTTTTGAATCACCTCAACATCTTTAAAAGTTTTTCTGTTCATCGCGATTTTTAATTTATTTAAATTTAAAAGTAAAAAAGTCCAGTGGCTATCGACTTTTAGGCCAAAAATTGTATAACGAGTATCGATGAATGAGCTGGTGCATTGTCATGAAAAAAAAAAACAGTCACCGATGTACATAGTGCAATTCCTGTGGCACACATCGAATCCGCTTCGAAAGCCGATCCAGAACAAATTTGTAGACCCGATGCACAAGTTCGTTATGGATAATCCTACGAAAATCGAAAAAAAAGTTTTGATTTTCGATGTTGTCGCTCAAGCTATGATGTGTCACGCATTCCAATCGAAAACTTTGCTTCAGCTTAAACAATCATCAGCATATGCATTTTTTAATAATTGGAACTGCTTTTTTCCAATTTGAAACAAAATTTGATTGCTATACATTGCATGCAGTAACGAAAAAAGAAACATCCACTTCAAACGATCATAGCAAGCCGTTAGATAAAGTTACACAATATGGATAACTAATAATAAATATCACTAGATTTTATACAAAAATGGCCCCAGTACTTTTTGAATGAACTGTGTACATATATTAAATTTTAACATAAATACATCGACACTTCTTTTTTGTAAAAGAAATACCGCATACCTTTTCAAAAATACTAAAACTACGTTCGTAAGCGTTTCGTCGTTTAGGCAATAAATTAGAAATTAATCGTTCTTGCCTGGGCAAAATTATATCTTTTGTTTCCGTAGCTCGACAGCCTTAGTCTATCCTTACTTCAACTGCTTGCTTAGGAGTAACCAATTTTCCGCTTTCTTACATCGCCATCGGCTCCATCAGATTGAAATTGGAACTGAGTTTTACCGTACACTTATCATGTTTTTTTTTTCTTCTTACCGTTAGTCGTATACTTTAACTAAAAATCTACAACTTTCTATATAACTTTACCGAAACCGAAAATATTGAAATATTATTTCCTACACTGAAAGCAAAACAAATATGTACCCATACCATCATGATCTCAAAACTCCTACTGTTTTATATCCGGGAAAAACGATTAGATCTACTCTGACATACAATAGGTTTAGCTTAATCTACTGTTGGGTTTATGAAAAGAAATTCCTAGGAAAAAGCCCTGAAAATATTGCCCCCGGAAAAATAATTCCAGAAAAAAGTTCCCGTCGACCAATTTTTTTCAAAGATACGTATTACTTCTCAACAAATATTAGACCACAAAAATTTTAATTTGACGAAACTGTACGCTAAGACAATCATTGAATAATAATTTTTTAAACTCCCAGTCTGACATTTATAAGATGTACCGATGGAGATGTCAGTTCGAAACGATATAAAGGAGTCAATAAATTTTGAAATATATTTGCCTGAAGATAAAAAAATATGCGTTTGCCTAATTATTCCTTGTTATAATGTTCTTAAAACAAGTTAGCAACCTATTAATGGAAGAACCCTTTAGCTTGTGTTTATGTGACGAAGAGTGAAAATATTTAACATGAACGACAGTATCAGTATGCGATTCTTTATGGAAAATACAAAATGTATATTTATTATGTGGGTTTTTGATGGTTAGATCTGAAAAGATAATAAAATTGTTGGCTTGTATTTCTTCCGGAAATAGATTTCGCATATATATTATAAGCAAGACACTTTTTATATTCTGTTTACATTTAGCACCGCATAATATTAAATCTCATAAATGTCATCACGAAATGATGCAGAACCCTGAGTTACTTAAACTTTAAAACCAGAGATGTGATTTATTTGAAATAGTTGCATTTAAAATGCAAATACAAAATACAAAATACCTATTTTTATCTTGCATTTAAATATTTTTTCGAGAAAAGCATTTTGTATTTTATTTAAAATACTTTTCCAAACGTATAAGTTTTACTAGTATCACCGATCAAACATTATATAAAATGATGAATGAAAGTTGCTCACATTGGCCATTGAAGGTATTAGAAGCTTAAAAAGGGGACAAAGAGACATTCCATGAATGCCTTCTAATTCTTTAACTGAAGAGAGACCAAAAAAATCTAAACTCCTTGGAAATCGATAATCTAAAATATTGGATCGATATTGTTTTCCGGGTTCAGTGTCATAGTCCATAGAATTTTGAAGTTCCAAATTGATATCAGCACCTGCCAAATCACCACTTATCATACCTTTAGCAGGGAACTACGAAATTGTATGAATTACGACTAAATAGCCCGCAAAACAATATCGAATTGATATATACGCCAGCTGTGTAAAACTGAAAACTATAAGATATCGTGGTGTGCTATAATAAATGTATATAATCCAAAATTCTTAGAAAACGATTAGAAAAACTTCACTTATTAGATAAATCCAAAGCTAAAGAAAATATGGGTTCCATTGTTTTCCTCTTATTACAATGTGTAAAAGATCAGAAACAAAATAGGGTTGTAAATATTTTGATATAAAATGATTGATGCTGATTTTACATCAATAAAATTATTTGCAACCCTATTTTGGCTCTGATCTTTCACGCTGAACAAACTATTTTCACATTTTAGAATGAAGTGTATATAACTATAATGACTTCAGATAAACCCAGGAAATAACGTGTTTAAGTTTCGTCATGTATTTAACGAACACCTTGTATATACATAAGAGATTTATTATGATATTTACGATCCTCATTTTTCTTGTAACAAATATAATAATCAAAATGCCTCAAGATCTTATTTGCATTTTAACTATTAAGACGCACCCCTACCCTTCAAGTAGAAAAAACAAATAAATGAGGAATTAACATATATGTTATAATACACACAGACCAATAAAACGTATTATTGATATGTATGACCAGTTTTATTTATCGCTAAAACTAAAGATAAGTGTTGCGGTTTTTGATGTCCTCAATTAAAATTGGGACGTTTCTACCTATTATGTACTGCATCCCGTTTCATATAACTGGCCTTTGCCTATTTAGTCGTGGCTTGATTTTATTACGGCTGTGGTTTCCGTTTAGCCACTCTGTTATTTACAGTCCTGTAATAAATGATTATCGACCTCTCTTTTGCATTGGAAATTTACTCCTTTGGACAGAAATTCATTTAAAATCACGACCCAACATTAAATGACAGTCGTTTTACCTTTTAAGCGCACAATCGATGTAATATTATTCCATTTTTGCCCCCATTTGTTAAAAAAAAATAGTTCTGATGTGAAATATTCCACTATATCCCACTGAATGGGTTAATTACATCTTGAAAATTAAATTTAATGATAAAGTAACCCATCAGGTCTCTAATATTATTATTTGCCTTCAGAAAGAAGAAATTTTACATTTTCAAAAAAAAACTATTCGCAAAATTATCTCTTATGCCTTCTCATTTAAAAAATTAATAATTACAAGAAAGAAATCACTTTTGTGTTAATCACCATAGAAATTCTAAGAGGCTTATTAAAACTATATGTTTAAAGCACGACTCTATATACCAAATATAAAATAACAATCATAATATACGGAAAACAATTTTCTTATTGTTGCTAACACTATCGTACGTAACCATTACAATTAAATTTCAAATATTAAACAATCTTACCTTAAAAGCATGAAATAAAACTTGTTTCAACATCACACACCACTTTTTACTATGCATTCAGTACATAACATATTTGTAAGTTTATAATATATAAATAATCGTCAATTACACATAATCAGTCTTATTGTTTGATGCATTTGAAAGACCTTTTTTATAGTAATGTAATATGCTCAAATTACTTTAATATGCATGTTCAAAATTCCTCAAACAGCTTAACTTTTTAAAAGTGCGCTTTTAGGGCCGTTAACACTTATATCCACCTTTGATACACGCCTCTGACTAAGACATAATTTTACAGTAATATTAAAAATAATAGTACTCTTAGCGCCATCTCCGATGTGTATGTGTAAGGAGTATTGTAAATAAACCTTAAAGTTGAATAATTTTTAAATACTTACGAAGTTGATGATTATTGCTGTGGCTATTCAGTGTAATTACTTTATGTTTATTTGATTATCAATATACCTTCCATTTTGTATACAAACAATTTATTAATCGCGAAACATTTGGCTAACTTCACTCGTAAATTTTCGCGTCGTTTTTGGTAAACATGCCAAGAAGTGTGGGCGTTATAAGGTTAGAAATATAAAATTTGTAATTTGATTCTAAATTTAGAAATAGAATACACTTGTGTCGAACGGTATTTTTATAGGGAAGCAATAGTTTAGTGTAATTTATTCGATAATTATCAAATTGTCATGGTATGAAAATTTCCAGCACCTACTAGTTACTTTGCAAGTATAGTAAATAAACTTAAAAATGGAATCTTCGTTGGTATCAGAATTTGTGAATTCTACTGGTTGTGATATTGAAGAAGCTTATGTCTTCCTAAGATCTAATAACTGGGACTTGAGAAGTGCTTTGGACTTATGGACAGAGCGTAAAAATGCAAGTTCACCAGAAAATTATGATATGTCAACAGGTACAATAAAATTACAATACCAAATGAGTATGTCTCTCAAAACTCTTAATCTTACAGCTAAGAAACTGTCAAGAGGTATTTCACGTGCCTCAACAAACATTAATTATGTTTGTGAAGCCAGAAACAAACTACTGTGTGACAAGGACAATAACCCTTTCATAACCATGGACGGATATTTTGTTGATACTCAAGGAGCAAGTTTCATCCTACCAGACTTTTCAAAATATCCTGTTGAATTCCAAGCCTTTTTAGAAAAGGATCTTATTGATTTGAGCACCAAAAAGACCCTTGAATCAAGTTCCCGTTTAAACTGGTGGCTTACTAAACTCCCACCATCAATGAGGTAATGTACCAATTCTAATTATTCCTTTTCTGTTTTTAAATAAAAAATATGTATAAGCTTCTTTTGACAATTTAACTAATGATAAGTTAACACTAGACTCTATCCATTATCAACAACTGGAGATGGAAATTGTCTTTTGCATTCTGTTTCTTTGTCCATGTTTGGCTTCCATGATCGGTTACTATTCCTGAGACAATTAGAACATGAATTCATAACCGATAGCCCACTAATGCAAGGTCTTAAACGACGATGGAAGTATAGCGTTCACAAGGTTAATCTTAAAATGGATGTTGTGTAAGTTCATGTGCTTATATTTATTTTAACTTCTAATTAAATTGAAAGCAAATGTTGTTAATCAATTTTTAGTCTTGTTTGCTCGTACGTCTTCTTATAAGTCTTGCTTTATTGACAAATAAACGTCCGAAATTAATAAATATACTAATATTCCTTCTTTTTTAAAAAATTCTGTAGCTATTCGCCACAGGAATGGGATTCCGAATGGCAGCAAATCGTTGAAATTGCCTCCACTAAAAAGAAAATGCAAGACCACCAAGGCACTTATGAAAGTCTTGAAGAGATTCACATCCTTGCATTAGCCCACATGCTTCGTAGAGTGATCATTGTAATCGCAGATACCATGCTAAAAGACTACAACAATCAGCCTTTTGCCCCTATAACTATTGGAGGCATTTACATTCCATATGAATGTGATAGCAAAAGTTGCTGTAAGACACCTCTTCTCATTTCTTACGACGTGTCCCATTTTTCGTCACTGGTATTTATGGAAAAAGACAGTAACAACCCTGATGACAATTTATATATGATACCTGTAGTAGATGTTAATGAACAGCTACTTCCTTTGAGATTTCCTATCGACCTCGGTCCCAATTTTAATTGGGATGATAGAGCTGCCTTTGAAAACGTTTCTATTTCTTACAAAGAACAACTAAGTATCTTGAAAGAATACTTAGATATCATAGATTTGTCAAGCTGCGGCGACACTGATTCCGACGATGAACCTGAACGTCCCAGTAGTGAACCAGAATCATCCTCATCGCCGAGTAAGGCCACCAAGCAACTCCAGAGCTTTGGAAAACAATTTGGAAGCATCGGAAAGTCCATGGGCAAAAAGTTACGTCGTAATTTTGGCTCACTGACAAGATTGACTTCTGTAAAACTAAAAAAAGCTGATGATACCCCCGGGAAATTTCTTGTAGCGACAGTTAATATAAAGAAATTTCGTTTTCACGAAGAAATGACCAAGAACTATTTAGAATATGCTAAAGAGAAATTCATGCGCGAATACTTGAACGAATTAGAAGATGTTGTTGAAGATAGTCCTCTTTACAATCAAGCACTTGAAGAGGGAATAGTGAAATGCACTTCTGGTAATGAATGTAAAAGTGTTGCCACAGTAGTTACCAGCTATTTGTGCCTAAAGTGCTATGACAGAATTAAGCAGCAGTATTTCGATTCTCAGTTTGGTATAGGTAAGTCAAAATTCTACCGTGAAACTGACATGAATAGCTACAGAGCAACCCAAAACATCCCAGTCATACAACCGGCTAACAAATGTGATAAAACTTTATATCTTTCAAACTCAACCTTTTTTAATGATTCAGGGAAAGATTCAAAAACTGATTCAGAAGTCGAAGAATATGCTACAAATATAAGAAAAAGTTTTACTGAGATATCGATTCATCCTGCAAGTGTTTCTGCCACTGAATCTCCCTCACCTACAAAAACGAGCTACAATACGTTTGACACACAAGTAAAACAGATACCTATGGAAATTGGACGTCTTCCAAGGTAGTGTTTTTTCTTTTGATTTTTTTTATATTGTTCTATAATAGACATAGCACTTTATTTAATAACGACTGACTCAGATAATAATTATTATTATGCACAGAATATATATTTATCTGACTAAGACATAATTTT